CCTTCGGGTGCTATGTCCATATCACCCATGTTTTGTATTACAGATTGGGCTTTACAGGAATCTTAGACAAGCACTCTTGATTCCTCTGGCAACAGCACGCAATGTAGCTCCGACCTCTCAAACTCCTTGAAGGATTGGTCACCAGTGATGTACAAAGGCGGGAGGGGACTTGTCAAGGATGTATGTCACTGCTCCAAGAGGGAGGCAGAGCATGGAGACGTGTACTGCAGCAAGTGCTGCCACTAGCCAAGCGAAAAGAAAGCCATAGCCTGGGTAAAGCGTCCAGGCTTTCCTGAGTACTGGGAGGACCATGGTGAAGACCGAGTCGGAGATACCTTCCCTGCCAAAGAAACAGAAGAATATTAGAGAGCTTTGATTGATCAAAACTGTCACACCTGTAATCGAATGTCTGGAGATATGGATCTACAACCGCTGAAATGCCTCCCGTGGAGCATTGAAACCAACTAAAGCCATTCTCCACGACACGGAAAGCATCAGCATCCTTTGCCCGGGGACCGCTTGCTCCCCAAGTCGCGGTTGGTTGGAGCATGATACCAATCCTAAAAGCATTCACCAGAAACTTAGAGAACACCATCATAACTGTGCTCTACCTCTTTTTCCCAGCCTGGCGCATCAGGTCTGGGAACTCGAAATCGTAACAATTAGCTCCTCCAATCCAGCCGAGCTCGGTTTTGATGATAGGAAGAATGGTGTAGCGTATGTGGTTTTTACATTTTATCCTTTGGTGATTTACCATAGGATAACACCATAAAGTGGAACTTAAACCCTCTATGTGCCACATGTCACATGCCATGTGTCCATAGGATAGTGGTGTGAAACCCAAGGTTCAGGGCGTTGGGCCACTGAACGAAGTATTAGTGCTAAACTCCCAAGCATGGAACTAAAGAGTGATGGGACTATGGAGCAACTCTTGAGCATACAGCCTAAAAAGTGAAGGGACAGAAACCAGGAGCAATTTGGAACAATCCTAGAGTATCTAACATCCCAATGCTAAGACTAATACGCAAAACAGAGTTAAATGGAGTCTGGCACTATTTTGGTATACCAGTGGCCTAATGCAAGGACATGGGTACTCTACCAGCTAGCATGGAATGGAAGTTGGGCTTATACCCAAACCAAAATAAGGACAAGCATGCAAGCGAGAGCTAAACTATGCCTCAGGTTGGTCGGCCATGCCCTACCTACCCACTATCCTTACTATACATTTGAAACCCTTCACAGCCGGAGCAAAGAAACCAAACCCATCGGTAAGGTTTAGATAGATTACTGTAAACAGGCAAATAGAGTTGTTTACACAGTCATGCTCGACAGAGAGGTGGGTTATGTGACTAGTCGACAATAACTACCTCATGACTAGAGATTTCACCATGCACACGAAGTGCCGAAGCCAGTCTGCTGATACTGGCCCAAATTCAAAGATCAATAGATAGACCATATCAAAGTCAGAGACAATGATATCTTAGAGACTTAAGTATCAGTGATTAAATCTTAGATTAAAACACAAAAGTATTCCAAGTAAGTTATCATCCGATAAACCAGTATTATAGTATAGAAACCACCAAGATCATCATGATTGGAAAATATAAGATTCACTATCCAACAAAATTCAATAGTCAATGTATCATCAAGAAAACTCAATGATAAAACTTAACGATCAAATACTGTAGATAGAATGCCAAATAACTTACGAAAGATAACTCAAAGAACATAAGGTAACATTGACTGGTAAGCAAAATGCTCGCGAATGTATCAGTCAAAGGAGAGAACTTCCTAATCTATCATAACTAACTCGAGCAACAATCAACAGAATAAAATGAATGCTGCAGAACCAACAAACATTTGTTTATGTCAACTATCGCACTAGCCAATGGAAATAAATCCCAGCCAACAACACCAAGGAACTTAAGTTGCCTAAGCAAGTGTCAGCAACATCTTATTGATATCTCAACCCAAGAGATCAATCCAGAGCAAACCACAAAGAACATGTGATATTGTGAAAAGCCATAAGCCATCAAGGAGAACAATTAACCATCACGAAAGATCATCAATCATTCTATAATAAAGAGAGATGTATAATCATTGTCGAAGAAAGAATCTACCATCCCGAAGAATAACAAATCATTCTTGATCAACAATAATCAAGCAAAACTTTTTGATAAAGATAATCAACTATCCTAGATGATAATCAATTATCACCAATGATTGCTAGATGCAAAAGCCAACTTCAGCATTGAAGTTAATGAGCCAAAAATGTTTTCCCCAATAACTTCTAATAAATGGAACAATGAGCATAAAAACTCAAAGAACCAAAAGTTTGAAGAAGTCTATAGCCAAGTCTTGCCTAAAATGATCACAAGTCTTACATGAATTCATTTCAATACCAAAGAAGAAATCATGGTATAACCCACAATATCCCCCTCAACACATCCATAAGTTAAACTTCAAAATGTAAAGCTAATGAAAAGCATAATTGCATCAATCCAAAATTCAAGCACAATGAAGCTATGCTCAACAAGTGATCACTAAACGATCCTTCATGAATTCATCTATAGCAAGACGTAACTCACTTCATAACAAACACAAGAAAAATCATCAATGATCAATATATTTTAACTCAAATTTAACAAAGATTCAAACATTCCAATATCAATCATTAACTCTTCATCTCGTAAAGCTAGCATAGTTCACGACTAAATCACTTTTCAAGGAAAAGCCAAAGCTCAACCCCTACTAAATAATCTCGTCTAGAACACAACTAACTCAAACTTGCCACTCAGTTTATTTGAATATCAACATAGTTGCTAACTAGCAAATGCACAAATGCCAATAATATAAAGCCATAGCCAAATCATCAACACTATTTTCATCGAGACTAATGAAATTCAACATCAATCTTTCGGAGAGATATCTTATTTCACTCAAATCTCAACATTAACAATGTCAACGACAAGGCATTACTTCAATTTCATCAACACCATAACAAAGCTAGAAGAAAGCACGAGTGAAAACACTTCCTCAAGGAGTAAATCACCACATCCAAGACTCAATGAAATCTAACACCACAGACTAGACGTAACTAAATGATATCAACAGAGATAGAGTCGACATGCTAACATGGAAAACCCATGTAAGTCTAACAACACAATTCTTCGCAACACCATTCAGTAAAGCAAGCCCATCACCGCTAAATCATCATCGAGCAAAATAAGTATCAAAGGTTCTCAATGAAGTCTACAAGCAATTATTAGTCGCAAAGCAACTAACAATCACTCTTTCAACGGAGCAAGTTGCCGATCAATCGGCATTACCATCTCAAATGTAACATCATAGCGTTGGAGCTTCGCTCAATTTCCATCTAGTTTTCATCAGAGAACTTGTTAGTAGGAAGAAGTTGATTGAGTCTTGAAAGTTTGCACTTCTAGACTGAGAATCATTCTTTCTCTAGGATGGAAAATTTCCACAAATTTTCTTAGATTTTTCCAATTGCTGATCTATTGATCACTTTGCTTGAAAACCATTTCATTTTCGTAAGTCAACACAAACTAGTGAAAGGGTTGGAGTTGACTTTGGTTAACTTAGACTTTAGTATGTAGTTTTTATGATGCGGCCTGAAAGGGATGTTAACTTTTAAAGCTAAGGCAATTAAGTTGGATAAAGTCTGGAGTTGGTGTAGAAAAGTGGCTATTACACTTTTCGAAGAAGGGTGACCCTTGTGCCTTTTTTCTATAGCATTATGTTTAGCAGCAGGTTGCACCTTGCATTTCGTTAAACTCTATAAAAGTAGTGAGCTCTCACTGATCTTGACTTGATCTTGATGGTCCTGCACCTTAGCTAAGGATAGTGATGTCCAACTTAGTTATTTGAGTTTAAGATATTAGTACCTGTACTATAGCTTGTCTAAGTGGAGGTTATGTACCAATAAGAGTCCATCTTATGGTCTTCATTTTTGTTTTGACTGAGTGTTGATCATGCATAGCTAGCTTCTTCAAGGCATGCTTAGAGCTATTGGGTAAACGTGATAATGAGCTTATTACAACTAAGTTGGATTCGAGGGGTCATTTAGTTTATGCTTGTCCATGAACCTTTATCTCATGCTTGATGATATGAGTTTAGTGTTGGGTCCTTTGAAGGCACATAAGTTCCCATTAACATAAATTTTCAAGACCCAACAGCATGCTAAACAGTGAATATCTTGCCCATATTTCGAACATCCAACACCGACATCCATAAAATGCAAAATGAACATCCAAGACTTGATCACGAAGACTATATCTTCAGATATCCACATTGCATTAACACTTTTCTTCAATCATTTTCAAGATCTAATGTGAAGTCAAAACACTAATACGAAAAATGACATGGAAAATCAAGCTCTAAGGAAAATTCCTCATCACTCGAAATAA